TGCCAGCAGGCCTGGCCCAGCTCCTGGTCACTGGGGAATGCAGGGTCTCCAGTGACCAGGAAGGAGGTTTCCACAATGCCAGACCTGCCCACAAAGCATTAAGAGCTTTGGGGGTCAAGGAGGTCCATCTGGAGGTCAACGTCCTAACTGGCTGCCCACCTAGGAGTGAGGGCTCCAGGCCAGTCACCTCCTGCTCTGGGCCCGGCTGTGGCTCACAGAAATGACTGGCCAGACTGGAGCAGAGGACTTGGGACCAATTCTGCTGATTCCTGCAGGTAGCCAGAAAGGAGAGAAACCCTCCCCTGGAAAACCTCTACATGCATGCTCATGGCTATGTGCAAACACATGTGCACACGTGTGCAAGTGTGCAGGCATGGGCTTGGCCCTCTACACCCAGAGCCCAGGACCAGGGAGAACACAGCCCAGATCCTCAGAAATGTACCCCGCGCCTGGGCCCCGGATGACAATGCTCAGACAGGGCCATCAGGAGGCCCTTTCCAGTCACTGTCCAGGTCACTGTCTGTGCCTCTCTCTGCTCAGGTGGACAGGTGTGTCCAGGAGTCTGAAGATGCGGGGAGGCTGGACATGTGCCAGATTCCCAAGCACCTCACTGCCCCACACAGGCTGCCTCTGACCACTGGAGTGTCAGAACGTCATCAGCCAGATGATATGAAATGTGACTTACTTCCACTGCATTTGATTGGGGAGTGTAGGGTTTGCTCATTGTGGAAAATACGGAAAATGCAAAAAACCTAAAAGATGAAAACAAAAGGCATGCATCGTCCCAGCCCTCCACCCTCCTTTTCCTGTCCAGACTTTCTGATGCTTGGGAATCTCTAATGTCCCTGGATCCTCAGGGAAGTCCTCTGAGCCAGCAGGAGCAGCTGATGCCGGGACAGCGCCCTGGAGGCTGTACATTTGGAGTGAGATAAACTTCTGCTTTTGGCCGGGAAGCCCCGGCGTCCTGCCGACAGAGGCTGGGGTGGGAGGCTGGCTCCTGGGCTGTCCCTCCTCAGACCCTAGTGGCCTGGGGCTCACTGATCCTCACACCGCTCAGGAGACCCTGTTGTCTAGGACTGACCCAGATCCGAGATGGGGCGACCGAGCACCTCCCTGGGGCCCTCCCTGGAGGACAGAGGGAGGCAGGAGAGGAGGGGGGACAGGCAGGGCAGAGTGATGAGCAGCAGAGTTCCTGCCCTGGGCACTTGGCAAGGCCCACCCAAAGCCTGGGCTGTCCCTGAGTACGAGCCATGCCGCCACTGGCCCTGGCACCTCCAAAGTGAACCGGCCCTGAAATCCTGCAGAGGTGCCCTGTGTCCCAGGCCACACCGCCCACCCCCTCACCAGGATGGCCTGAGCTGGCCCACAGCACACGCTGCTGGGGGGCTGGGTGAATGGCCGCACTAACAGGACAGGTGCGAGTTGTTATATTACAAACAGGACTCCTGAGACCCCCAGCACCGTGGCTGCTGCTCACTGCTAACTGTGTGTTTTCAGTGCACCATGAATTTCCAATGCCAACAACGCCCAGAGGGAAGGAATTAAGGATCCTGGCCATGAGCCGCTCTGGGTAAAACCCTGGCCCCAAGGATGAGTCGAGTCACCTGGGTGTGGGAAGCCCTCTGGCTGGAAGCCCGCAGGGCACCACTTTTGAGTTGGACGCTCTAATTCCACAGGGTGACACGTGGTTTTCACTTTTATCTTCTCTGGGAAAATCGGGGGCCTGTAGCTACAAAGGGCCCAGGAACTACTCGATTTCGTTCAAGGTCAGGCCAGCAGCTGATCTGACAGGGCAGTGGGTCATCACCGAGGCCAGCATCAGTGTCAGGCAGTTTTATTACCTGCGGCCCAGCCCGGCTCCCAGGCATCCAGCGGGCTGGGAGCAAGTTACAGCTAATAGACGTGAGGGGGCTGCCTTGTCCAGCCATCCATTCATCTGTCCATCCTCGCCTGAGCTCAGGCCTGGAGGGGGTCAGAGCTCCTGGCTCACTCTCCTCCCCTGTGATGGGTCCAGCCCTGTGCATCCTCCAGCCGCCAGTCTCCTGTCCCTGCTGCCCCAAGCCCTCCCTGTGGGCAAGCCTTTTAGGGGAGCGCCTTGGCCTGGAAGCCGTTTATAAATATTCCATCATGTGACAGGACATTGACCACACACTCCTGCCAACGGGGGGACAAGCTCGCGTGATTACATCTCCCCAAAAACAAACTTGCCTTGGGTCCCTCCCCAGGGGACCCCTCTCTAAGTGGGTTGTCTGGTGACCTGGCCTGCGAGGGCCTGGCAGCTGTAACGCTGTCCAACGTCAGCAAGAGGCTTTGAAAGCAGATTGGGTTACATAAATGATACAGCCCCCCTCGGACTCAGCAGTCAACTCGAGGCCCCGGCTGGGTCACCCACAGTGCAGGCTGTGTATAAGGCCCCGTGTCTACCGTTCACGAATCCTCCCAAAAGCCAGTGTGCAGGACAAACATCATCAACAATCCCACTTTTCAGATGAATGGAGATACAGAAAGAAAAGTAACTCACCCAAGGTCACACAGCCTGGAGGTGGCAAAGCAGAGCCCTGAAGGAAGTCTGACTGCTTTGAGTTCACATGCTGACCTGCCGCCCCAAAGCTTTCCTCAGGTCTCAGGATCTGCTGGGGAGGCAGAACAGAGCACTTAGGGCCATCTAACCACAAAACGTGATGAGGTACACGGAGGGGACAAAGAAGGGACCTTGCAAGCTGGGCCTTGAGGGATGTGTACAAGTTCAGCAAGTAGAGACAAGGACACAGGAAGGGCCCTCGAGTTAGGGAGCAGCACAGGCAAAGGCCAAGGGGAGAGGCAGGCTTGCAGCCGGACAGACCAGCAGGGAGAGTGCGGTCCTAGTGGGCTGGGGCAGTTGGCTCCCTCCCGAGGGGCCCACAGAGCCTGGCAGCACCACAGAAGGGTGACAGGGTCCTTTAGCATCATACGGTGACTTGTGGAGGATCAGGGGAGGCCGGGCAAGGTTGGGTGGAGTGGGGCGGGACCTTGGCTTTGTACTTTTAGCTGAGATGCCTCTTTCTGGTTCTAGTAGAGAGGAATCTATGAAGGGGTCCAGACGCTGTCACAAACAACCCTCCCACCCTGTCACTGTGCCTGGAGGCTGTCGAGGGTTGGCAAGGTGTCCAGCCTGAAGGGGTGGGGAAATGCCAGCAGAGCCTCTGCTTCTACTGCCCCAGGGCGGTGAGCTTATATCCCACTTGCAGGGGCTGGTACACAGGACAGGGCACTGAGAGTAGCACAGCCCTGGACACCCACCACCCTGTGTGGGGCGCAGCCTGGGAGGAGCCTTCAAGAGAATCTCCTTCCCTGAGGCAGAGATTTAGAGGCAGCTTCTGCCACTCCACTCCCACCTCCACGTACTGGCCTCTGGAAATAGTCTCAGCCTTTTCTTTGTAAACATAAAACACGTCTAATTTAGAGATTTGTTAATAAAGAAAATGTGACCAGAGGTCGCCTCCTTATGTCTAGTTTTGCAGTCTTCGTTTGTTTTAATAACCTTGTTTAATTACTAGCTGTGTGACCTTGGGCAGCTTAGCTAACCTCTCTGTGCTTTGTTTCCCAGCTGTAATGAGAATAATAACACCATTTACCTCCTGAGATTGATGAGAGAATTAATGGGCACACCATGGGGCAAAGCATAGCCCCACTCCAAGCTGGCATTTGCTATTCAAGGACCCGGCTGGATTTTATTCCCAGTGAAAAATATGAGTCCCTTCCCCACGCACCTCCCTCCTCCCCCTCCCCGGGATCCCAGGTTTGCTGTCATGTCAATCTTTCCTTTCTCTGGATCTTTCTTTGGGGGGGAGGGGGGTGTGCCTCAGCCCCAGCCAATTGAGTTTCCACTTTTTAACTTCTCAATAACCCCACCCCCATCCCCCCACCTCTGTGCTGGCTCAGTGGCATCTTCCTGTTGCATCTGGGTCACCTGGGCTCTGAGGGCCTGGGGGGG